TATATATTTTTTGAGACAGAGTTGTATTATGTCACCCTCCATAGAGTGCTATGGCATCACAGCTCACAGCAACCTTTAACTCTTGGGCTCAAGCGTTTCTCTTGCCTCAGCCTCCCAAGTAGCTGGGACTATAGGTGCCTGCCACAAAGCTCAGCTATTTTTTTTTTTTGTTGTTGTTTTTTGGAGACAAAGTCTCACAATGTCACTCTTGGTAGAATACCATGGCATCACAGCTCACAGCAACCTCCAACTCCTGGGCTTAAGTGATTCTCTTGCCTCAGCCTCCCAAGTAGCTGGGACCACAGACACCCACCACAAAGCGTGGCTATTTTTGTTGCAGTTTCATTGCTGTCCAGATGGCCTGGGTCATGCTGATACCCACCACCCTCATTGTATGTGGCTGGTGCTGTAACCACTGTGCCAGGCAAGATGGCTCATGCCTGTAATCCCAGCACTCTGGGAGACCAACGTGGGTGGATTTCCTGTGATCGCAAGTTTGAGACCAGCTTGAGCAAGAACTAGACACAGTCTCTAAAAATTGCCAGGCATTGTGGAGGGTGCCTCTAGTCCCAGCTTCTTGGGAGGCTGAGGCAAGAGAATTGCTTAAGTCCAAGAGTTTGAGGTTGCTGTGAGCTATGACATCATAGCACTCTACCAAGGGCAACAAGGTGAAACTCTGTCTCAAAAAAAAAAAAAAAAAAGAAAGAAAGAAAAATAGCTGGGTATTGTGGCAGGTGCCTGTAGTCCCAGTTGCTAGGGAGGCTGAGGCAAGAGAATCACTTGAGCCTAAGAGTTTGAGGTTGCTGTGAGCTATGACGCCACATCACTCTATACAGGGCAACATAGTAAGACTCTGTCTCCAGGTGGAGGGGTTCAAACCTGACCTAGGCCTGCTAAACAATGACAACTGCAAAAAATAAATAGCCAGGCACTGTGGTAGGCACCTGTAGTCCCAGTTGCTAGGGAGGCTGAGGCAAGAGAATCTCCTGAGCCCAAAAGTTTGAGGT